GGGCTGGTCTTGGGAGAGTCGCGATTCGTGGTGCGCGCGGCGCCTGTGCCCACGACGATGGCGGGCCGGCTCGCGGCCTTCCAGAGGGCGATGAGGTCGTCGACAGCGGCCGGGTCTGGGGCCGGCGACACCGCCGTGGGGCGCGTAACGGAGCCATAGGACAGCGCGTTCATCCTCGGCGGGTGGAAGAGGATGTCAATGGGGAAGTCGATAACCACAGGACCCGGGATCCCCGACGTGGCCGTCTTGTACGCGTAACTGACGATGCGCGGGATCTCTTCCACCGTGGTGACCCGGTGCGCGAACTTTGTCAGCGGCTTGGCCAGGACCACCTGGTCGTGGAATCCCTGGAGGGAGTTCGTCTCAGCCTCGCGCAGCGGTGGCGACGACGTGACCATGAAGATTGGCGAGCGGTCCGCAAACGCTGTGGCGAGACCCGGGAGAGCATTGGAGAAACTGCAGAGAAGGAGCGAAAATGGTCAGCATATGTGGTTTCTTTCTCCTGTGAAGATCATCCCATATACATGGTCCGATGTTTGGCAGAAAAACATACCCGCTGTTGGCCGTCACAAAGCAACATCCCACTTTGCCCGAGAGTTTAGCATATCCCTCTGCGGCCTGGACGGCCGTGGTCTCGTGTCGACTGTCAATGAGTCTGATGCCGGCCAATTGACAGCCGATCAAGAAGGCGTCGAGATGGCCTCCGTGCAGACCGAACGAGACCTCGACGCCCAGTTGAGCGAGGCTCTGAGCGACCAGGTCACCACCGAGGAACTCTCTCTTCTCGGGGATCTTCCATTTCAGTTCCTGGTCGGCCATGGCTTTGGCGAGAGGTTGTGTGTATTTATTTGTCGGAGGGGTTTGGAAGTGAACTGATATAGAAAGGGAGGAAGCAGTTCACAACTGGAAATTGTTGAATAGATGTACACAGACGAGTGCGGCTCCCCCTGATATTGATATACTTGATACCTCTCGAAAAGCGGGAACTTCCTTCGAGACCTACCTACCTCCTCCCGTTTTCTTATGTATGAAAAGAACGGGTCTTTCGAGCCTCGGTGCTTTGCTTTGTTACTCACAGTGCCCTCTCTTGGATCTCATTCGATGCGCAGAAAAGGCATGCAGCGCACTCGAGTCAAGTCCCTTGACGAGACGAGTCTCAGGCTCCCTTGTCCTCGATCCCCTCGCTCCGCATATTCTTCTGCGGGGGTGAGTGGATGCGACGTGATGACCCTGACTCGTCCAAAACTGACTGTATGGCCATGTGTTTTTGTTCATGATATGCCCTGGCAGGCTATCCGAAGTCTGGTCCTCGGGACAATGTGGGAAATGCGGGGCAAAATCTGCTGATTTGCTCCAGGTATACAGAAGGACAGTCACCAAAGTCCCACTAATGAGATGATCCGTAGTGGTCAGAGAGGGGGTTTTAACGGTGACAGTCGGTGGGTTAGCGGTTTTCATACGTCGGCTGAGGGATGCCAGAGAGGGGGTAGACATGTTGACAAGGTGACAAGATTGACAGACCAACAAAGAGACGGATCAAGAGAAAGTGAGGGAGTAATTGTGAGAGTGTGAAACTGCGGCCCAAGAAAACAACGTGATAAACTCTCAAACACCAAAGCCCTTTGGGCCTCCACTCCATGGCACCACCACCACGTATCATCCTCTTCACCTATGACATCTCAGTCTTTGGGCGGAAAGTGGATTGGTACATGACATTATGCCGCCTGGATTACTTCCAGTGCATCGTGCTCAACCGGCTCCCGCGTCCCGTGCTGGAAAAGCTGGGGATCCAGTACCGCCGCATCCCCATCCTCGCCATCAACCGCGACATCTACTGCGACACGCGCGTCATCCTCGACAAGCTCGAGGCGTTGTTCCCGGCGTCGCGCATCGGGGGCAAGACGCCCTTTGAGAGAGGGCTGGACCACCTGTTTGAGACGTGGGCCATCGATGCAGGTCCCTTTGGCCGCACGGCCGGGCTGATCCCGCCGACGTCGGACGTGATGTTGGACGAGGAGTGGCTCAAGGACCGCGCCGCCATGTCCGGGCGCAAGTTTGACAGGGAGACGATGAGGCAGGGTCGCCCCGAAGCCCTGGCCCACGCGCGCATGTACTTCACCCTGATGGAGACGGAGCTGCTGGCCGACGGGCGCGCGTTCCTCCTCGACACGCCCGAGCCCACCCTCGCCGACATTCACGCCATCTGGACCTTCGACTGGACCCTTCAGGAGAAGATGCGCATGTACGAGTGCCTGGAGAAGGACGTCATCAACTCGACCCTGTTCCCCAAGACGTTTGCCTACGTCGACCGCTTCCGCAAGGTCATCGCCGACAAATCCCGCCTCGGTGTGCCCGCGGTCGTGTCCAGTGACGAGGCCATCGACCTCATCCTGACCTCGGACTTCTTCGAGCCCGAAGGCACCGTCGATCCGCTCGACCCGCTGAAATTGAAAAAGGGGCAGTTGGTCGAGGTCTTCCCCGTCGACTCGGGCTTCACGCACCACGACAAGGGCGAGTTGGTCTCGATCGGTGTCAAAGAGGTCGTGATTGCGAGTACCCCCAAGGTAGGCGAGGGGCGACTGAGATTGCATTTTCCCAGAGTCAACTTTCGAATCCTGCCCCTGGCGGAATCGAAGATATAGTCGGTCAGCCATTAAGGGGGTGAGAAACCCCGGCTTTCACATGGACTTTCTGAGCTTTTGCTCGCTGAATAATGGGAAAGAAGGGCGTGGCTCCTATCAATTGATATGACATATTGTATCAACCACTCTCCAAATATATCTAGATATACACGGCACGACACAGTCTCGAGCTCTTGTGATACATATCCACAGTACGGTACAAAGCATGCAGATGACACGCATATCATACCCATTAGGATTCCACCATTTCCCTACCTGGTGGTGTTGCTACAATCAACCTTTCACCTCGCATTCATACACACATAACCGTAACATACAACCCGTTCACCGGGTCAAAAGCACTGCTTTACCACGCGGTGTAACCCCCGTCAATAACAAGCTAGAAGGAAAGCAGTCAGTCAGTCAGTCGGCAAAGAAACAGTTCTCATTGCCGCGGATCATCTTTGTCAAAACTCACATTCGAGCCGGTCATAAAGGAACTGGCATCGCTCAGACAGAACAAGGCAGCGCCTCGATATTCCGCGGGAGTGGAGATCCGTCCCAACTTGGAATCATCAAAAAAAAATGTTAGTAAAATTGAGTCGGGAGGTAGGAGTAGAACAGAGAAAAGCGGCCGTCCTTCCTTACCATGTTCTCCTTCTCCCACAGCTTCTTCAAGTTGGGATCATCTTTAAAGTTCTTCTCAACCATCGGGGTCATGATATTTCCTGCGGGACGTCCGAGGGGATTAGATTGTGGAAAGGATGGGTAAAATGAACTACTAGACCACGTACCAGGACACAAGGCATTGACCCGGATGGGCTTGCCGTTCACAACCTTCCCCCATTCCATGGCCAGAGACCGCGCCAGCTGGCAGACCGAGCCTTTGGAGGAGTTGTAGACGGCCGAGGTGAAGCCCTTGTTGGCGACCATGCCGCTCATGGACGCGACGAGCAGGATGGAGCCGCTGCAGTCGTACCTGATCATCTGCCGCGCGCAGCTGACGGCCGAGCAGAAGACGCCCTTGTAGTTGATGTTCATCATCTCCTCGATCATCTCGGGCGTGCAGTCGAGCGCGGGCGTCACGTTCTGCACGCCGGCGGCCGCGATCAGGCCGTCGAGTCGCTTGTGGTGCGTCGCGATCTCCTCGATGACCCGGTCGAGATTGCCCGCCTCGCGCACGTCCACTTTGTCGTACCTCAGCGATCCCCCGTACTTGGGGCCCAGGCGTTCTTGGACCGTGAAAAACTCCTTGTCCGGCTCGGGCAGTCGGTCGAGGCAATATACTAGTTCACACCCAGTCAGCCAGTCAGCCAGCCAGTTAGCCAGACAATGTCAATAACAGCGAATCTCTATATTATGGAGTATGTTTACTGACCTTGTCCTCCTGCTTCGATCAGAGCTTCCGACAAGACCAACCCCAGTCCCCGCGCCCCGCCCGTGACCACAAACACTTTGCCTTCGAGGTCAAACTCTCGAAAGCGAAAAGGCGTTCGGTCGGGGTCGGGTAGTTTCTCTTTGATCGACGGAGTCTGGGCGGCGCCCGTCTTTTTCGCGGCCTGTTTAGGTGGCACAGAAGCAGAGTTGGTATTTGCATAGACAGAGCGACTTTGCGAAAACATGCACTTTTGTTGACAAGCAGGTGGCGCCAGGCCCCGTCGAGACTTGCTATAGTATCTTGATATCGAGCCTGCGCCGGATGTGAAGTTGCGGAATGCCACTGAATGGGCTCGAGAAGATACCGACGACATGGTGGGAAAGCAGTGGCACACAAAAATCGTTTCACGTCGAGACGAAGATTCGGACAAGGAGGCTGAAATGTCGAGTTGTTGTGGTGTGTGCTACTCTTAACCGGCTTGACGACGATCGCCGAATTGGCACGCCGACTAAAGTCAACAAAGATCTATCATCTTACAGGTTTTTGTAGACCAAAGTGACGTTAGACGGCTACGCGAGGCGGGGTTCATACGCAACATTACCCACAGAGCTTGGGGCAATGGGAGGAAAAGCTCTTCCACTGTATTGGTCGCAAATAGTTGCCTTGACTTGAATACATCATACGGTCGAACAAGATCCGTGGCCATTGAGAAAAGAAAAAGAGCACTTCTTCTGACGTGGATTTTATACCCTTGATATCATTCCCCAGTTTTAACACTGGACCGCCTAGATCTATCGCGCGGGTGCAGGTGCCGGGGTTCCCTCGGAAGCGCCTATCGGGTGGTTTTGTCCATCGCTTTTAAGGCAGTTGAGTGGTCGGAAGGGTACTTTTGGGTCAAGGATGAGTTCATAGCTACTGGAGGAGGCATTGACGTAGACGTGCTGATAAGCTGCCGGGGTGCCGGGTAGTTTTCGGTGTGCCTTGCATATGGCCCGTGATCTTTACGCAGACGCGTGGTCCTGGGTAAGGACCTTGGTCACTCGGATACAATACCCTGCGCCGAGGGCTGTGAGGATATGCCACCATCCGTGCAGTTCCAAGACAAAAGCGAGAGGGATCCCCAGCTGTTTTCTGGTTTCTCGCAGGGCGCCGCAATACGCTCCGTCAATGGCCCACACGACGAATCCCATCAGAAAGCACAGACCTCCCACGCGGAATTGCTTGGTCCAGTATTGTTTCTTCTCACCCTTGAATCGGGTGCGGATCAGATACAGGACTCTTGGCCAGATGGCGGTGACCAGGGCGATAAAGGTCGTGTTGTGCAACCATAGCTGATGGAGCGCGTAATGGTAGGCACTGATGACCCCGAGAACAGCGGTCAAGATGAAAGCGAATGACAACTTTGCCGGTTTTGACCAACCCAGGGTGTACAGCTCGTATACGAGGGCTGCACATACCCAGAACATGGACAGGTCGTCGCAGACCTGAGTCTCATACTTCAAAGTCAGGTGGAAGACTAGAGAGAAGACGCCGACGAAAAAGAGGGCCAGGTTGGAGGGCTGAGTGAGCAAGCTCTCTCCGGGCAACAGCGTCCGAAACGCCCAGTATACTGTGAAGACGACTGATTAGCCGAAGCCACAGCACAGGTACCTCTCAAAACAGGGTGCGCACCGTATGCAAGGTTCGTGAAGCTATTGACGAATTCTGCGATGTATAGAGTAACAGCGTAATCTTCTTCACAAAAGCTGATGAGAGAAGTCGGTCAGTCGATTGTCAATTCTCTTCCCTAGAGACTCACTTGGCCACAGAAGTTGGAGGACCCCAATAACCCAGGTGCGCCTTGTGATCGCCTGCGAAGTTGCGTTCTATGCCCATGATGTGGTGCGATGCGGTGTAATGCGATGGGACGGATGGCTCGTTTCAGCAAATGTCAAAGTACAGGGTGTTTCTTGTTGCAGCACTGAGAAAAAGAGAGAGGGAGAGCAAGCGAGAGAGGCAAAGGTGAGGATCTCTAAAAGGAAGAAAGCAATGTGCCAGGCAGCACAATATCTTTATCCACCAACGCCACGTATACACAAAATGTCGACCATTATAACATCTGATGTCCAAGGATGAATTTCATTTTCGTTATAAAGGGAAGCCTGAGAGCTTTACAGGCACGAGAGGATTCGCTTAGTCGGGCTCCGCGGCACCATGAATAATAACAGAGAAGCTGATTAGCCGGCACTGGATGCAGGGTGCAGGTGCACAAAACTATGTTCATCGTACTTCGTATCTCGTGACCGAAACGCTCTTCACCATTTATCCTGCAAGAGTAGCCTCAACATGGTTCTATTCTCCTTGTCACGCTCACATCATAAACCTTTCTAGACCCATAGAATCGTCTTCTTGTCGATGATACGTGGAATATCGCCGCGGCAAGCTATATGTATCGCCCTGATCAGGCTTCACCGCTCCCAAAAGACAAGACAAGTCGTTCGCAAAGAAGCTCGCGAGCATGCTGCCACTATCTAGGCGACAATAGCAAGCAAGCTACTTGAGCATAACCCTCAAACCCTTCGAATCCACTGCAGGAAATGGAGAAAAATAATCGTGCTCAATCTCAATGTCCTTCCTCGTCGTCTCAAAAAGCTCGGCATCGAACTCATGAAAGAAACTCGCAATGGTCAGATAAAGGTTCATAATGGCAAGCTCCTTGCCAATGCAACTCCTGCCCCCTCGCCCAAAGGGGACAAAGTACTTCTCCAGTCTCTTCAGCTCTTCGCCATCCACCAGCCACCGTTCGGGTTTGAAGGACAATGGTTCGGGATATACTTGCTCAAACGTGTGATTGCTTCGAATTGCCATGCTGATGACTGTCCCGGGAGGCAACACGTACGATCCGTAGGTATATGCCTGGCGGTGATTGACCCTTGCAAGTCGGCCGGACACACTGCATGCAATTCGCAGCCCTTCATTAATCACGGCGGTGAGGTAAGGTAGGCGTTGCAGAGTGCTGTAATCCGTCAAAGCGTCTCGCTTGTCCTTGGATGCCTCTACTGCGCTGGCCAACTCCTCCTTGAGTCGCCGAAGCTTGTCTGGGTTGGCGAGGATATGGAATGTAATAGTCTCCAGAGCATTTCCTGTAGTCTCACTACCGGCCCCAACCAATGTCCGGGCCTCTTGAGTGATCCTATCCACAGTCTTGTCGCTCTCTGGAATGGCATCCGAGTTGATAATGCCATCCAGAACCGACTTGTCACTTCGCTTTTCTGCATGGACGGCGTCCGCCGCCTGTCGTGCCAGATCCTACATATGGTCAGCCACAGCTGAGAACCAGACTCGGACAAGATCATACTGTCTGGAAGTCGAAGGCCATCACCCCACCTTCCGTTGAGGTAGCTGCGACAAGCCATCTCGGCATCCGCATGAATATGGGAATGATGATGGGAATATGGCGGTGCCACGCGGCAATATGGGAGATGACACGCGCCTGGCGGTTGTAGTCATCGGCAAAGTCAATGGAATCAAGCAGATTGAAGGCCTTTGGCATACAACTGCGTGTCTGTCAGGTTTGTGTCTCTTGAGCAACCGCCAACTTCTGAAGGACTCACTAATTGGTGACGGAGTCGGCAGCGAGACAACGAAAAGCATTGGAAAGATTGACGGGCTTTCCCTCATCGCGCATATTCCTCAGTCGCTGGCAAAGCTTCGACACCTTTTCTCGTGACGACGATTCCAGGTTGGAGATGGCCGAGCTTGCAAAGAATCGGCTCATTGCCTTTCGCCTGGCACGATGGAGGTCGACATTGGAGGTACCAAAGCCGGCATCTTTGGACCCAATAAAAGCATAGTACCAGGGGTCTTTGTCCAGACGGCTGGTCACGTTGTAGAACTCGTCGAAAAAGTCGGGGTCATGGATATGGACTTCGTTGGGTCCTATCCGTACAATGGGCCCTGGGAACTGGTTGGCGACCACCACGCGGAACTTTTGTCAATTTGCAAACCATATTGTTTATGAAGGTCTTCGATCTTGAATACAAATTTTCCTCCCTGGATGCAGTCATAATAGAAGTCATAAAGCCGGGAGATCGCTGCAGCCTTCGGCCCGGGAATTTTTGAGAGGGGATGAAAGAACAAGCGATAGATAACCAGAGTTGCAAGGCCGCCCAAGCCAGCCAATGCCAGTAGAATGGCAGGGGCCGCATCCGACATGACAGCCATGGTTGGGCCGTGGACAATTCGTCACTAGTAGACACTTTCTGGGGACATATCAAGTACAAAGGACGACAGGTTAACCTTGTGGAAAGGAGTGAGATTGCTTTACACGGGGATGCAGCCTGTGTAGACCGAGTTGTCCACAGCTTGGGCGATAGCGTGCGCTTCTAGAGACCTTTTGGATCTCCATTTTCGAGACAGGCGAAGGATGCGAGCTGCCTATCTTGGTTTCAAACCGAGAGGAAGAGTCTCTATGCAGATTCTCGCCGAATGACAGGGGTTCTTGCATGGTCAAGGCACAGTGGAGGGCTGCAGTAGTCGTGACTGGCTGCGCGCGCAATCGATTAGCTGCATCGACCAAAGAGAGCCTACCAAAGAAGGGAAAGATGGACTGCGACAGCTCTGCCCGCTGTTGGTAGAAGATGGCCAGAGCAGTCGTGAACTTGTTGGCTATTTCGATGTACTTTTTCACAGGATCAGAAAACCTGCTGGGGAGCCACTCGGAGGCCTCTCCTAAATAGTCTGCATCTGTACCAGGTAGGGATATGGATCTCGTCGGTGGTGGAGGTCTTCTCGGAGGTGCAAGCCCCGATCCCAATGTGTTTGTGGATGAGATGATTGTTGGTTTGGTGGTGGAGGTTTGCAACGCGTTGGACTGCAACCCTCGACCACAGTTTGTGACGCCACGCTTTGGCGCCTGCGCCCTCCAACCACTACCGAGTCCTCAGACTGCGCCCAGCACCACCACATCTTGACCACTTGGCCCCGCTATCCACAGCTTGGAAATCAAAGTCACCAGGAATGGAGGACGCTCTTTGCGATGCTGCATATTCCACAAAACGGCGGGTCTCTTCAGGGGCACCGACCTCCGTGCGCCGTCATCCTCGCTGAGCTCGCCCATCCCAGTCCCCCCGCTTTGCCTTGGCGGTCCTCGGAAGGTACATCAAAACACCCAGTCTGAAGAGAGAACTGTTGTCCAACCATAGCTGGAAGGCTGTCCTTTCCGAAGGGTCAACTTCCGCAAATGTGCAACGGCGTGCCATGTGCCATGTACCGTGTGCCTACCGGGAGTTACTACAGCTAGGGGCACTCCCTCGAATGCCTCGCACACTGCTTCCATCGAACGAGCCAAATCGACTCGATACAAGCCAAGGCGACAGATAAGCTATTGTGCCATGCGAGATCCCACCAAGTAAGTGGAGGGTTGATGCCTGTTGTGAATTAACAACCACGCCCGCAACTTGGGGGAGCAACGATCCATGCTAGGTGCTTACGAGCAGGCATGTCAAGGTGCTTTCGTCACCCTCCAAAGTGTGAACAAGTCTTCTATTCGTCCGCAAATGCTGCTTATCCGTCAGCCGTTTGTTCTGGTGGAGCTGGCTTGCCTAAGACTTTACAGGGTGTGTGGAAAGCACTCAGGATCCCTCCGCATTCATGTGCAGGCTGAGATACCTGGCCTGAGTGATCATTACTTCTGCTGTACTTTTCCTCCCACCAGACCTGCTGATTGCTGTATACATGGCACTGGCAACATGAATCATACTCTGGAGCCCCCGCCGACGGCGCATTGAGATATTGTTTCTATGGCAGGTGACGGTGATAACGATTCTGCTTATGCCGAGAGCATAGGTGCCTATTCGGAGAATACATCTGCGTCCTCGAGTGTGTTCGACTTCCAATACGAAAATGGGCGCCGGTACCATTCTTACAAGGCCGGGCAATACTTCGCTCCCAATGACGAACAGGAGCAGGAAAGACTCGACCTCCTTCATCACGTTCAATCCATGGTCCTCGGTGGAGAGCTGTTCAGAGCACCAATCGAGACTCCGCAGCGTATTCTTGACATAGGCACCGGTACTGGAATCTGGTCTGCTTAATCTGTCTTCCCTGAATCCGTCATTCCACGGCTGAAACTCACCCAGGGCGATTCAAATGGCCGACAACTTTCCCACGGCAGAGGTTGTCGCGACTGATTTATCGCCGATTCAGCCGACTTGGGTCCCACCGAATTTGGAATTTCTCATAGATGACTGCGAGGCAGACTGGACATTTCGTCGCAGTTTTGATTTCATTCGTCTTGGGCATATGGTATGCCAGTCTTCTACCACTGATTGGCTCCTTCGCCGAATCGGATGATAGAAAAAGCATTCAGTCATAGATTTTTTGATATTGACTGGCATGACACAACAGGGCGGGAGTATAGCGGACTGGGAAAAGCTATTCCAACAGTGCATGGAAAACCTCAGACCAGGTGGATGGGTGGAAGTGATCGACTTTGAAGGTGAGGAAGACAAAGGCCGTTTCGAGTGGAACATTGTTGACCTGTGGTGCAGCATGGGGTAGCACAGACGACAACAGCCTCCCTGAAAATTCACCCTGGCATACGGTACGAGCATAAACAATGCATATGGAGCGCACCAACCACGTCTGACTGTCTGTTAGTGGCAAACCGAACTCAGCAACGCAGCAGAGAGATTCGGCCGGGTCATGAACATCAGCCCACACATCAAGGGTCTTGTCGACCAAGCAGGGTTTGAAAATGTGGTCCATGAAGTCCATAAGGTGGGACGGACATGGCAGCTGTCTGTGCGAAGAGTTTCTAATGTAGTGGCTCAGGTCCCGCTGTCTCCATGGCCCAAAGAGCCTCGTCGAAGGGATCTGGCTTTGAATATGAACATGATAATGACTGAAGCAATGCAGGCATACAGCTTGGCCCTGTTCACCCGGATACTGGGCTGGGCTCCGGCAGAGGTGGAGGTGCTCCTGGCTGGGGCGAGGAGAGATCTGAACAATCTCAACTACCATTTATACACTCGATTGCATATCGTTTACGGGAGGAAGCCGCTTATACCGAGGACGCCTTCTTGAGGGCGATCAAAAAGGTTGGGATGGACAGGGATGGAAAGACTGTTTGCAGATGAGCTTCGAGATTCAGTATGTGGTCGGATTGGCATGTGGAGGGACTGTTGCTTCTAAGGACTAACTACCAAAAGTATTGTATACGGCAAATGCTTGGCACCGTGGCACTCGGAAGTTCTATAGCTAAACTCCGCGGGTGCGGGCCCGTCTATTTGCACTGCCAAGTTTTCGGATTGATAATATCGACCCGGCAATAAGGCGGATGCTGGTGTCTTGGTCCGTTACGTTGGCTGAAGAGGTGTTGTGTTTGTGTTTGTGTGGTTGTTTTGTGGTCTGGTGGATCGTGGATCGTGGATGTTGGATCCGGGACTTGGGGGCTAGGGGTCTTTGGGTAGCATGGGACATACACACTGTAGGTAGGGGAGTGAGTATTCTGTGCATCTGCACACTCGCCGCGCTGCGCCGTGTGGAGACGTTTCACTCAGTCACACATATGTATATAGGTGGTGTGCAGGTGGTATCCCATAATATGTGGTATGTAATATATTCCTGGAAATAATGCCGTCGGGGTTAATTACCAATCGAAAAGAAGAAGAAAGGTCAAGCAAAGCACGAGACATGACCTGCAAGGCATGACATGGCATGGCATGGCATGGGTGCATGGCAAAGCAAGCAATAGCAAGGCCCACAGTGGCAAGGTATAGATGAATATAGTAGATACTGTGGGTAGGCAGTAAGTGTAGGATAGGGATTCGATGAAATCTATCAAACCTGTTATGTAGTTACATAATTTTTTAAGGTTCAAAATCAACCGTTCAACCCGTCAACCATAACTATAAGAACCTCGCAAGCACCTCTGCATCTCCATTTCTCCTTGCCATTCTCATCCTCATCTACTAGGGCTCTTTACTCTCTGTTCCCACGAATACAAAAACCATAATCGGGAAAGGAAAAAGTCTGTTCTCGTTTCCTGCTCGTACGTACGCTTGACTTTGGGACGTGGAACGCTGAGCTGCGATTGTATCATCGGGTTTATTTCCTTGGTGTGATTATTCTACAAGGGGTGAAACGGAGTGACAGGGGGGAAAGAAGGGAAGAGGTTTCTTTCAGATAAAGACGACAAAGAGGGACTCGATCTGCCATGGCTACCCAACAACAAGGACAAGGACAACTACAGCTCCCGGCACGGACGAAATCGATCCTGGTCCTCGGCGCCGGCGAACTGGGCCTCGCAATCCTCGATGCCATCCTCGCCCACCCGGCCTTCGAGCCCGGCACCAGCAGAGTAACTCTGCTGGTCCGGCCGAATAGCCTGAACAACCCGTCGCCGGCACAACGGTCGCAGCAGGCTCTCCTGCGCAGCCGCGGCGTGGACATCATCGCAGGCGACATCGAGGCGTCGTCACAATCGAAGCTCGCGGAGCTCTTTGCACCCTTCACCGCCGTGCTGCACGCCGGCGGGATGACGCTGCCGCCCGGCACCATGACCAAAGTCACCCGCGCGGTGCTCGAGGCCCAGGTGCCCTACTACATCCCCTGGCAGCACGGCGTGGACTACGACGTCATCGGCCGGTCGGGCGGGCAGGGCATGTTCAGCGAGCAGATTGACGTGCGGGAGCTGCTGAGGGGTCAGCACGATGGCAAGAAGACGGACTGGGTGATTGTCAGTTGCGGCATCTTTATGAGCTTTCTGTTTGAGGACTTTTGGGGCGTGGTCAGAAGGATACCGTCGACCGGCAAGGAAACGACGCGGGACAAGATCCAAATCACGGCCCTCAACTCCTGGGACGATGTCATCACCGCCACCACGGCCGAGGACATTGGCAAATGCACGGCCGCGCTGCTCTTCACACCAGACGCACCCACAAACACGCCCGTCTACATTGCGGGAGACACGCTGACGTACGGCGCGTTCGCGGACACGCTTGAGCGCGTCGTGGCGCCCTTGGGCATGGAGGTCGTCAGACAGGTATGGCCGCTGAGTTACCTCAGGAAAGAGAGCGAGTCGGACCCCGAGGACAAGCTCAAGAGGTACCGCGTCGTCTTCTCCGAGGGCAAGGGCCTCAGCTGGCCCAAGGAGCGGACGTGGAGTGCAAAGCAGGGGATCCCGATGGTCACGGTGGCCGAGTACGCAAAGAGGCTCTTCTCTGCGAACGGTCCGTCGCAGACATGACTGTGATATCTGGTGTTCGACACCGTCTGAGTAGGTGACGGCGTAGGCGGTAAGATCGGCGTAAACGGCGATGGTGATGTCGGTGTCATGGACGATAGACCAAGTTCGCACCTAGGTAGCAGCAATGAGAGATCTCATATTCCAGACGATGCATAAGGCGTCGCACAACGCTACACATCATCCTCTTCGAAATCAGTAGTCTGATGGACACGGCGCGTGCGGAGCAGACAATACTCGTCGATGTTACGGGCTTACACGAGTACAGCGGTAGAAGGAGAGAAGAACGCGTCTGATGTGAAAAGCTCAATTCGATTGTGTCATGTGACACTCTATTTCACGTGCTGTCTGAAAAGACAGATTCGGCTCTGTTTGCGCCGGAAGAAAATCCACCCATGTCCACCACTACCACCACCACCACCACCACCACCAACCATCCTGCCGGTGCGCACTTAGTCGCGCAGGTTCTCGACGGCGCCGCGTCGACGAACCACCCGATCGACAAACGCCTCCTCCGAGCGGTTGACGACGACCGTCGACCCGGAGAACTGCCGAGGGCGAGTTCTCGGGCGACAGATCGTGTCGTAGCTCGGAGCCGGCGTCACGATCGGGTTCCGGCCAATCTTGCTGTCGTCGAACGAGCTCATCTGGGCTCGGATCCAGTCGTTGTGGTCTTGTCGGAACCAGCGGGCTCGCTGCTCCAGGCGGTCTGCTCGTTGGCGCTCCAGGCGACGGGTCCTTAGCCAGTATCCAACAAAGGCGGCGATGGCAATCGCGAACAACCCCAAAATGGGCGCGATGATTGCGGCAAGTTTCTGGCCGTGGCTGAGCGTCTTGTGCTCGCCAGGCTCGGCGCCGGTGCCGTTGGATGTAGCTGTGGTGAGAGGAGTCGTGGTCGCAGAAGTCGTCGCTCCAGGAAGATCACTTGTGGTTTTGTTTGCCGTGGTATAGCTATTGTTTCCGGTAGGAGTTGCAGGCAGAGGCAAAACCGTGATCGTGGTGACAAGAACAGTAGGAGTGATCGAAGACGACGAGGTCGAAACTGGACCGGCAGTGGCAGTGCTGCTCTCTAAGGCCGTCGTGGTACTGATGCTGGTAGCTGTGACAGTGGTGATCTCGACTGGGGGCGCGGGCACCGGAGCCATAGCAGAGCTTGAGAAGATAAAAGTCGACAGAGTGAAAGGTAAACCGGCTGGCGCAAGACTCGGTGGAGGTGCTGCAGTGACTGGAGTCGGAGTCTTGGTGGGTAGATTGGCCAGGAAACCATCGCTGCTGGTCTGGATCGACCCGTTCAGCGAGGTGAGGAAACCAACACCATAAAATGGTGGAGGATCCGCGGTCTGGAAGCCAGCACCACACAAGACAGCGACGAAAAGTGCCGTGATCAAGGTTGCGATTCTCATGATTGCTTGTCGAAAAGTGGTGGATGAGTTTTTCCGTGAGATGAAGATCCTGCCATGACCTTGTCAACGCCTATACACACACGCTCTTATGAAGGTGAGGGAGACTCACTGTTCGACTCTGTGGTCTTCTTTGTCTTCTGATCTGTCGGGGACACCACACACAAACTCTTCCGTATCTTGGTGACTTGCTCGCAGTTCGAGGCAAGTAGAGGTTGAGAGATTGGTAAGATTTGTGATTGAGGTTGTCTGTGCTTGAGCTGTGATAAAGGTCAGTGACTTGATATCACCCAGTTGCAACAACACGTGAATGAGATGGTTCAGTGACACCGTTTCAGATAGCAAGATCTGAAATGTCACTGAACAGGAGAAAACACTGCCAAGGGCACAGTCAGACACGTACTGGATGGACTGTTGTCTTGTCAGAGCAGTTCAAAACTGTCGCTGTCGTCCAGGTGATGATGATGTTCTTTGAATAAAGGTTCTTCGTGTGAGAGAGGTGAGCTGGGAGATGGCGAAGAAGGTTGAGAGTGAGAGAGAAAAGAATTCAAAGAAAGATCAAAATCCGACTCAGAGCAGAGGGCGCCGGCAGGAAAAGTCGTGCTAACGAGGGCGACGGTAGTGAAGACGATCATGGTCTCGGCGCTGCACTGAGCGCCGAGACCATGATGTTGTCGGCGACCGGGGTGGACGGCGCGGTGCGCTTTATATATACATTTTGATTTTGCAAAAAAAAAGGACAGTGAAAAGAAGATTTTCTATCCAGGAAATCAAAGAGCAGATATTTAAGTCACGCTAAAACCTGGACGCCAAGCGGCAGTCGCCAGTGAGGCCCATGGTTGTCGTCTTCACGCACTTTAGAATACATACTAACAAGCTGTCAGTCTCAAAGGAAAGTCGGCCGAAGGGTTTGTCTAAACTCACAGGGATGAACAAGTATGGGACTTGTCTCTCATACTCCTCCCAAGCCTTGCCGTACTTCTTCCGGCATTTCTGGATATCGCGTGTGGCTCGATGAATGATCATTGCCGTGAAGAAGAGAGGATAGAACCACGGGAAGGGGGATCTGAATCCCGTCACAGCTCCCCAAGACAGAGCAAAGAAGAGATCACAGGTGTAATGGATCTTCCTCGCATAGCCATCTGCAGAAAAAGCTGTTAGTTGAGGTATCAAGATGGGCCCGAGACAACTTACACCAGCCATCCGCAAGAATCGTTCCCCCATTTTCCGATACGATGACCTTTGGGTTTTCGACCGTCTGCCAGGGTAGCTGTGGGAACGCTTTTCGTGTAACAGCACCACCAGATTCCTTTGTTCGGAAGCGGTTCTTTTGGCTGTTTGTGGTATCCCAAACCCAGTAAACAAACAGGTATGCCACGAACAATACGCCAAGCGCATATTTGTTCCACACATACGTGCTTGGGGCGTGGTTGGCCAGGTAGATGGTGCAATGGCAGTAGGTCAGGGGCACGCCAGCCATGTTCCAGAAGATCAGCATGAAGCCCCATTTCTCAAAGTACATATCCCAGGTCGGCACGATGAGTTCTTCGCCTTTACTGCACGCATTTGCGTAGAGAAAGTGTGCCATGAGCAAGATTCCGACTTCACCAGACACGTACCCGTAGAGCTCGTATTGCCGTGCTGCCGTTCCTAACGTTATCAGGAACAGGATGTACCATGGCATGCGAACCTCGAAGAACATCTTGAAGTCCAGAATTCCAAACATGCGGGGGTTCAGCTCCGCGCCCATGAAGAAGTCGTACATCAGATACCCCGTCATACGGTGCTGCTTGCCCCGATAAATGGCTGAGGCATATGCAATGATTGCCACAGCGAAGCCGGAAATAATCGCCACAGACATGAGCGGGCCAAACTCGTCAATAATGGTGTAGAGCTTGAAGAGGCCAGAGAAATGGAGGCAAAGGGCCACGATGATGGTTGCCCACCAAGACCACATTCCACTGCAGTAATAGTCCAATCTGAGTCCGTTTTCATGAGGCAGCGGTTTGCCCTTGGTCCAGATTCCCGGCATCAAGCAGTAACACGCGCTTTCAAAGATGCAGAAGGTCCAGTAAATGACCCAGGCTTTTGTCGAGGGCCATGCACCGTAGTACGCCATGCGAAAGAGGCCGTAGAGGAATTCTTGTAGAGACTCGCCCTCTTTCGGAGTCGGGAACTTGCCATCGTAGTATGTTGCACCGATCCACATGTAGTACATTAGCAGCGGAAAGCCGACCATCATCGCAGTTACTCCCCACGGTCCTCCGAATTCAAAATGTCCCGATGAGTCGACCTTGGGATCCATTCCAGGTCGCCATCCGTCAACCAATTGCTGCTCCGAGTTGACCTTCTCTTTGCTTTTCGTCTTAGTCACGTGTCCATTTTCTCTCGGCTTGATATGTCCATTGGCCTTTCCATTTGTTTTTTTGGGCTCAGCTCGATCGACGCGTCGCGACGGAATAGTGTCCGTGTCGTTATCGTCCGAATCTTCAACAATTTGGCCTTGCACGCCATGTTCCTCGACAGTAACAGGGGCAAGAGATTTACGCGGTCGAGGCTTGCCATAAGTGCCCGGTGTTTCGACATAGTCAGGCCGCACTGTTTTCCTGCCCAGGATTTAGCAAAGGGGGTTTCCCGCAGGGGGGTTTTAGGTGCGGATAATGGCCTCACTTGGGCGTTTTCCCCGCTTGCGTGCGGGTGACTGTCATGCTGAAAAGAGTGTGCGCATTAGAATAGACCACAAGAAAGAGCTACTATACGCGACAACTAATGAAGGGGTTGTAGCGATGATGGTGGCGAGTGATAAGTGGTGGGTGGTACGAGGCGGAATAGTGGGAAGGGGGTTTTGGCCCGTTGGGATTTTGTGTTTCCATCTTTGTCTCCGCACACATCAACATCCTTCCCATTCTGTCCGTCCAACCACGTGCGGAAGCCACTCTGGTCTAGAGGACTTGTTACTGGCACCGTTAATTATGCATGTTATTGAATTTCTCTCCTTCGTATTCGTCAAGTCTGACGAGCAAAAAGGACGAGGGCTACGCACGAGTGTGACCCCGACGCGGGTTTACGAGTCTCCTAGGCTGGTATGTCGTCTGAGCAGCGGCTTCGACGGTTAATTGATTTGCAGCTATATACCGTGCTTAATTGTGTTTGCAAGCTCCTCATAGCCATACATATATATAATATATACATAAATGCAATGAAGAGCATCGCTCAAAAAAAGTGATCACCAATGGTGAAAGATCGAAAATTCAAAATCGGCCGCTACCTGCTTCCTATGTATGCTATGGGAGGACGTATATATGTGGTATGTGGTATGTGGTAGGTAGATAGATAGATAGATGCCAAGATCGGGTCGTTCGTTACCTATTGTCCTTTTCTTTCCCTCTGCTCACGTCGCAGGGGCCAAATCTCAACAAAATGTGTGTTTGGCCCACGCCCAAAATTCAAAAAAAGCAATCCGTTATAAACGCAACGCACGCTTTACAAGAACAACCCGCTGATCGCAACGGCAGCGCAGATGACCACGCTCAGCATAGTGCCGGGCAGCTGGCTCTGGGCAGCAGTGGCACCGCCCGTGAAGGGGGTGATGCTGATAGGTGCCACGGGAGTGGAGGACGCAGACGAGGGAGATGGTGCGAGCCATCCGCTGTTGCTGCCTGCGGAGGTGGTTGCTGCTGCGACGGGGGTACTGGCTCCGTTACCAGCAGGCTGTGAGTAGGTCCAGGTCGAGGAAGCAGCGGCGACTGGAGTCTCAGTGCCGGATGGGTGCACGGGCGCTGCTGCTACGTCTGTGGGCCGGACAGGCACAACAGTCTGGGTCATAACGGCAGTAGCGGTGGCCTCGGGAACAGTCAAAGTCACCGTAACCACGGTGGGAGCGCACACAGAGCAGACCGTCACTGTGGTGTGGAATCCCCGGGGGCATCCGTCGGCGTTAGTAGGCCACACGAATGGTGCAGTGGTCGTGGCTGCTGCAACAGGGACTGTGGTGGTGTAGTGGTACGGATGCGTCGTGTAGCCGTTGGGGCCAATGTCGGTGTATACCGTAGTCCACACGGTGACTGTGTACTGACCAGTTGCGCTCGTTGTGGCAGACCAGTCTGCCCAGCTAACCGGCGCGCTTGTCGTTGTGGTCTTCGTCGAGGTGGGATCAACCGGGCTGCTGCCAGCGGAAGTCCAGTCTCCCCATTGCCAGCCGGTCGTGGATGTGGCAGAAGCGCTAGAAGTTGTTGCAGGGCTGACATAGACCGACGAGGTGGACGAGCCGTGGCCCAGCGAGTGGCTATATGAGCTGGTGGTCACAGCCGGCGGCACAGTGCTGCTTGAAGTTGTTTCGCCAATGGGGCCGAGAGTGTGACTGTACGTGGTTGTGGTCGAGCTGCTTGTCGTCGTGGTTTCACCAATGGGGCCAAGCGTACTGCTGACGGTGGTCGTAGTCGAGCTGCTTGTGGTTGTAGATCCACCAATAGGTCCAAGCGTGTTGCTGTAGGTGGTTGTGGTCGAGGTGGATGTGGAAGACTCGGAGCTGGTCGTCGTAGATCCACCAATCGGTCCGAGACTATGGCTGTAAGTGGTCGTGGTTGTGCTTTCAGATGTGGTGGTTGGAACAGGGGACGACGACGTAGTGCTCGACGTTGTTACGGCCGGAATCTCGGTGGTGGTTGTGGTGGTCGAAGACGAAGTCGAGGTCGAGGTGGGGGCAACCACTTCGCTAGTAGTGGTTGTGGTGGTTGTGGTGGTCGTGGTGGGAATTGGCGAAGTCGTGGTGGTTGTCGTGGTAGTAGTGGTGGTTGTTGTCGTCGTCGTCGTCGTCGTCGTGGTGCTTGTGGTTGTGGTAGTGGTCGTTGTCGATGTGCTCGTCGTCGTTGGCGGTGCGCAAGAGAGCTTGCCAAAGATATCCTTGATGTTGGCAGCATAGCTCTTCCCGTTCTGCTGGTTGTTGTCCGAGTAGGTCGCCTCCCAAAGCATCACACCTCCGAATAGAGACTGATACGTGCTTGAGCACGCATACTGCTCGATCAAAGCCTGGGCTTGATCCAGGCTCAGGTAATGGTTGGGATTAGCGGCGATGTTTGACGCGGGCAGACCCAAGAACATCTTGATGTTCTGGTTCTTGGAGTTCTGCTTCAGCCACTGGGCCCAGCCAAAAGTGATGTCGGCGGCAGTGTTGAGGGAGCCTGAGCTGAACAATGATGCTGCCGAGCACGAATCGGTGTTGTAGTATTGGACAAATCTAGCAAGTGTTAGCAGTGAATTCTCAACAAGGGGGAGGAGAATCAGGGTGTGGTCCGTACACATAATCGATGATGGAGTTTTTGATGGCGTCGTCGAGATGAGCGTCCGGCACAACACACTGTGGTGCCGACGAGATGATGTAGCTCTTGGAAGTGTCTTCCTGGAACCGGACTCGCAGTTGATTGACCAGGTCGGCGTATCCGAAGTTGCTTCCTGACTCGATATCCAAGTCGAAACCATCGACGACGGTATTCAGGCCAAACGGTCGGGGGTAATCCACCAAGGTAGGATCCTGGACTGGACCGAATGCACCCCAAAGAAAGTCGGCAAAGTCCTTTGCAGAGTCTGAGGTGGCGATGAAGTTTCCAGACTCTGCACCGCCAATCGAGGCAAGAATCTTTTTGCCCATGCCCTGGCAGATGGCGACATCAGTCGCGATTTGACCACACGACGTGAAGACATTGGTCTGGACACCCTCTGGCGACTTCCAGGTGACACCGCCACAAGCATTCCCGTAGTTCGTTCCCGGGCCACCTGTTTGATCCGGGAAGACATTGACGAAACCGATGGGGATGATGTCCATGGTAGTATCCGCGCAGAATTCGGCCAAACGTTTCTGGTTTGGTCCTTGTCCCTATAACACGATCAGCCCGGAGTCCCACGCGTACCCCCCATATGCCTTTTCGCCTCACCCAGTAGACTGCCAAGCTTGGTTGAGACGGAGCCCTCTTTGCGACAGCGGAGCGTGCTCCGAACATTGGTGTTGCGATTGTAGATGAAATGAACGCCGCCGTGGCCAGCAAGCTGGCGGCGAACATGTTGGAATGCATGATGTAGCGTTATCCTCGTAGGACGAAACAAAAAAAAAGAACGAATTGGAAGAAGCAAAGGGCCAAAAAATCACGCAGCGAAGGAGTGTGTGGGCTGAAAAGGCCCGTTAAGGAAGGACTGGACGCAAGCAATAGCCTGCAAACGCAAAGGTAAACACTGTAATGAATGGAAGCGTACAAGAGAGAGGGAGAGAGAGAGAGAGAAAAGGAAAATCAATAAATCATAAAGTCAAAACGCGACCCATATGTATTGTATGAGATCTTAGGCGAAAGCGTCTGTACCATTCCCCTCTGCGACGAGGCGCCCTAGGAGCGGATGATCGAAGGGCTATCCACCCATCAATCTGGAACACCCTTACCGTTGGATCTAGGCCCGAAATTGGGGACAATGAGAGTACCATACAAGGAGATTCTGTCCCTTTTGGGATCTAACACCATCGAAGCGCTTCTGAGGTGACATTCTTCAAGGATGAAATCGAGTCCGACAAACAACCCTGTGCGAGACCGAGGGGAAATCAGGAGGATTCTGATGCCTTCGGGTGGCTTGAGGAGGAAGGGGGCGCGAGTTTGAGGATAATACCACCTGGAGCCGCCTCACGATCGGATGGCGTAAGCGGCGAAAGCCTCTCAGATGGATCATGGGCGTTGTGTGAGCGCAACCTTTTTGCCGGAGGTCACCAAGTTGTTTGTGGCATCGACATCAAATCTCCTGGCCAGGCGTGCCAGGCTCTTCATGTTCAAGTGGGTCTGGCCATAGCTATAAGGCTGATAGATCATTGGCCCCAATCGATAGCTCTACGTGCCAAGGTTCAAGCCAGGGGCGTTAGCGCTGCCTATCTCAGACTAGCGCGTCTCCTTCAGGGGCAGCTGGCTAAATGGCACAGCGACTATTACTTGGATCCATTTCCCCTGCAACAGATCCAAACACCGGCTCCTACTCTCACGGGTACGAATACGATCGGGTCTGGAGATCTGTGGCTGCACTTGACCATATTCACCTGGCCACACTTTGCGCCATAACAACAATATTAAGGGACAAAGGTCAGCATCTGTCCCTCGTCCCGCGCCCGAAGCCCTTTAATAAGGAAAACGGCAAGGCCGAGAACCCTGACCACCCCGCAAACGACAGGAGGAACAGTAATACATGAATTCATGTGTCAAGCAGAGGCTTTGTCAGAATGATCTAAAAATGGTGTCTACCTATAAGAACGAACCTGGCGCCGGAATGAAATTGCCCTGTCGAGCCGAAATGTTTTCTGAGGCATCCCAGATTCACACATTATTGCTTTGGGGGCCAAGTGAAGCGAAATCATCAATAATTGTCGCATACGAGCACGACCTCGTCAACCTCTATGGGAGTCCTTCGCATCTGGTCGTTCAGGTCAAGTCAGCTGCTGACGGTTCAGAGAGGAAAGGAATCATATTGCAAGGCGCGCCACGCAGGCCAGAGTGCTCCCTGCAATTCTGATTTATAAATAATGAGACAATGATCCCCTATCTCGTGAGACCTGTCGTCCATGGCAATCCGGTGAACGTCAAGGAAAGATTGCGCTATCCTCGTCACCAGGTCAAGGATGCGACCGCAATGACACAAATGCCATCGAGTCCTCCCTACCTCGCCGAGTTGACATGTAGTCGCAGATCGCAGGTGGAGCAGTTGATCGTGACGATCGAATGACGAACAGTATCAGATCCTTTAATCATCACAACGTGGCCGCCGATCTTCACAAACACCTGTTACTAATCGGGTTCGAAAACAAAGAATAACAGAGGCAACGGCCGTTGCCCAACCAACCCTCCTTCACTGCCCTCTTCCTCCACAAAACTGATGTCGTCTTATAGATGGGATCATCCCGATCAGAGAGGTTTGTCTCTGTTGCGAAGGTGTTCTGTGCAGTCCCTCATTAATACTGCCGTCCCCCTAGTGGCGGTTGTTGGACTTTGTTTCGCTCAGACATTGGAGACAAGCTACACTGACAAAGTGTTTAATCTGCGTCTCATGTCAAATCTAAGGCGGTGACACCCCCCCGGTGATGCGATCGGTGCCCAACGCACGTCATATTCTCATAGTCGGAATGGTGATGGTTGAACCATGTCCTTATGCTCAAGTGATCCCAAATATGACCTCGAGTAGGGTATGACAGGAGGTAATAAACGCAGTACCAAGAGCAGGCCGTGTGCTGAGCGACAACTGCCTATGTCTCGCGAATTGCCTTCGGATTTTGGACCCTGGTTCCTCCGGGAACGATATGCCTGTACCGGAGTATGTACAAAAGTGCAGATCAAGCCTTTTGGGAAAAGCGCCCCCTGGAACCTCCCTTTCAAATCGTAATGTGCTCCGATCAAATATGTATTCTGTAGTACTGAGAAAAAATGCAGCAGGACTATACTCCTGCTGACCAAGGAAATGGGCACCTTTGAGAAGATGCTCCGATGGTTGTCTACTTCTCTGGAACGACATTCTCATGAGCAAACTCCTCGCTGCTGGTTTCGCTGCCGACTTCCTTAATTGGACCAGTAAATTTCTTGCGAGCTCGGAGGATATAGTTGACGGTAGCACAAATCATGACGAATCCGAACACAGGGGAAGCGTAGTTCATATTCTGTCCAGTGACAGGCAGGAAAGGCGGAAATGGCAAGAAAATGATGAGGAAAATGCAGAATGTGACTGCAAGAACGTTGACGGGTAGGCCGAATTTGCCCATAGTCCAAGGACCAAAATTAATCGGGTTGGAGGGATTGTATCGTCGGATTGCGAACATGACGGTCGGGATCGCATAGGAGAAGTAAAAGCCCAGTGTTGTTAGGGAGATCAGGGCATTGAAAGCAGTGGTTGACCCAATGTTGATGAGAGAGAGGAGGGAGACAGAGACGAATATCGAGAGAACAGCGTTCGTAGGACATTTGTTCCAAGGGGTAATATGCGAGAAGAAGCTGGAGAACGGAAGACCATGGTCTCTTGCAAAAGCCCAGATAAGGCGCGAGACAGATGCTGTGCACCCAAAGAGGTTCATAGTGAAAACAATGATAACACCAGTCATCATCGCCGTTGCCGCTTTCTGGTTGTCGGTGGCTTCCAGGAAAACAGCAATTATAGGGTAACCAGTAGGCGTCGCGAAAACCACATCCGTATCGGTAATGGCGTAGAGAATCGTGATGATATATGCAAAGCCAGCCAATCCATTGATTGTGACTGACCAAATCATCGCACGAGGAATATTGAGAGGAGCGTTGTACGCTTCCTCGCTCATGTGGACGACCGCGTCTACCCCGGCGAGCGCAAAAGCCGGGGTGAGGAATCCAATGCAAAAGCTGACACCGTCACTGCTCCAACCGCCGGCGTTGATAAAGGTACCCCAAACATCTTTGTCGCTGGCCTTTGTGCTAGTGGCTAGAATGGCGATAAAAACGATGAAGAAGAATAACACATGAAGAAACCCTCCCAAGGTCTCCCACAGCGGCAGAAATTTCTTGCCATAGGTGTTTCCCAGTGCGGCGACCCCGGCGAACCCAATCATCATGAGTGTTGCGTGCCACCTCTTCGCTTCGTAGCCGGAATAGTTGAGGATCGCTACCCCCTGAATCATGGTTGCGATCAAGTAGCATACAGACGCCACAGCTGCGACCCAGCCGGTGATGGTGACCCAGCCTTGAACGTAGCTGATGATGGCACGCCATTTGACTGGTGAATGCTCAGCACTCCAATGATACTGGGCTCCAGCAATTGGCGAACTAGGTCGGCAATCAGCCAGTCTTTCTTTCTTTCTCAACGGACAATCCAAACACATACATAGATGCCATCTCAGCGAAAGAACCTGCGATGCACAAGGTTCCCAGAACGGACACGATAAATCCGTAGACGACAGAAGCAGGCCCGCCGTTGCTATAAGCACCAGCGAATAGAGCACTCGTGGCTTCCCACGTACACAGAGTGCATGCCGACATACCCAACAATGCCCAAAAATTCCATTCCCTCTGTAGCAACAGAGTCAGCGGTGTGCACCAATAGAGACTTTGTGGTGCTTATCCCACCTTCAGCACCTGCTTCTTCCCTGCTGCCTCCAAAGCAGCAGCATCTGAGATGAAGGCCGTCATTTGGGCGATAACACAACGCTATGAAGTGGAAAGACGTGCAGAACCCAAGTGACAGCAGGCACAGCGTGCAAGAATGGGCTGCGCAGATAGAGGCATATGAGAAGCCATAGGTGCGCGGGAGCCACTGTACTTAAAGCTTGCTTGTTCTCGTAATGGGAGCATGCTATGGCATTGCACTCGTAGCGAGAGGACTATTGTTTTCTCACCCCAGCTTAGCGAAGCAGACGCGAAAGATGTGAAAGAGCCAGGGCATGAGGTTAGCCTATTTCCCTTCACATCTCGCCCTCGCTGACATGCCGCACATGTGTGACTGTGAAGGGGTTCACGCTCCGGGGACCCATGTCCTGAATGAGGTTCCCCACAGAGTTCGGAGTAATAGACAAGTCAGGCAGCTTGGTCTGCTCCCGCAAATTCTGTCCGACAAGTTGAACTCGAGATTATTCGGCGTTGAATGACATGCTTTGTCACGGCAGACCTATACAAGTTGTAGCGTAAGCTGACTCGAGTGGTGTCAGACTGACCATGGAATGACATTATCACAGGTCTCATGGAAGGTGTGACGCCTCCGCCAATAGCAAGCACAACTTGAGGCGCGATCTGCATGGTGCGTTCTGCATGGTGCGTTGCACACGGAGGTGGTGGTCCCTGCTGTGAAAATTGGTACAATCATTCGCAGCGGCCCAGGTTGGGGAACGACTATCCGGGCCGTTCAAGCCTCTTGCTGGTGGCCCTACTCGTGTTAGTTGTTAGAGCTTGTCTTGAGGAAAGTGATCGCCTTCGATAAGCTTTCCTCAATGTTGTTAGGTGGTCAAGTAGTACAGCACTGTCAAGGAGTGTAGAATGCGAACATCAGGGACACGGTGGAGACAACTTACCCTCCCAAGTTTGACTTGAGTGAGGAATAGAGACTTCAGCATTGCCGATGGCGCACAAGCATCTTGGTGTGAAGACATGCATATTTTAGTCGACAGTCAGTAGCGTTGGTTGCTTTATCTAGAACCAGGGTATAAACTCCAAGGTGGGAGGAAAACGCATCAACTTCTGAACCTGGCGACCAAACTCACTAAGCATTCAAAGCTAAGAGAGTGCATACCGCGGACCCGAGTGGGACCCAGCAACTGACAGGGAAGGATGTCTGTTGGTGCTGCTTGAGTACTCGGTACCTCGTACCACGTAGCATTTTGCTGTTGCGCATTTCCAGCGAAGTGTACCCACTAGACGCTCAAACGGACATCCCTCCCTTGTTCTGTCCGGGAGTTTTCCCACCACCATCGATTTTCTAGACTTGAGACACTCCCCGTCCCCTGCTCCGAGCCCAAAAAGCCCACCGGAGTCGAGGTTTCAAAAGGGTACTCAGTATATTCGGACGAGAAATAATATTACCCCGAAACAAAAGAGTCAAAGTGAGATGACCAGGGGTTCATCACATTGCCACGAGATGTGTTATGATTGTGTGAATGAGTCCAATCACAAAATCGTAGGGCGATGGCCATCTGTGGACGCTAAGGCATGTCGATCTTTTGGACTTTTGGTAGGTGGCGCTATTCCGTGGCTGCACGTACCAGTCGTGCTTGCAACGGCTTGAATGTCAAGAAAAGGAAGAGAGTGGACTGTGAAGAAACGAATACATTGCCATCCCGAGTCTGTAACTGGGATTTATGTAGATAGGCACATACGTAAGGTTCGAAGCATGCGCTTAATGGACAGAGAGTGACGGAGCGGAAAAACCATCACTCCGACTACGGCGAAAATCACCGCCCTCGCCGCCCTCACCGCCTTTACTTTTTGATCCGGCAGAATGTCCCGAAATTTTGTGGCTGCAGATGTAATAGCCTCAAGACTCGAAATGAAAGCCTTGCCCGCAACGATAGGTACGAGGTACTTGTCGCCGTCCAATTCCTCCCGTAGAGGACTTCAATATGGCGGTGCCTATCGATGATCTCACGGCAATTTTCAAGGACCTTGGAGCTCTAGAGCGGGAATTTGCCGAGGTCGAGCTCGATGCCTGTGAGATGATATATCATTCCAGGCCACCGCACACGCTGATTTTGCTACAGTGCGAAGAAAAGAATATTCCTTACGAACCCTGTACACCAAAAGGGAAGCTCTATTTAAGAAGATCCCAAACTTCTGGCCAACCGTGTTTGGCTTCGGACCTGAAGACATCCGACGATTCTTCGCTCCAGACGACCTTCCTCTACTTGCTTCTATCGAGTCCGTGTCCGTCGACCGGTACGAGATCCAATCCGAAACCGAAGGCGAACCTCGCAGCATTCGATTTACCTTCCACTTTGCCCCCAATGAATTCATGGAGAATACGACTCTTATCAAGGAGTTTGAATTTCATCCCTCTGGAGATGGACCGGGTAACCTAATCTCGACGCCGGTTCCGATTAAATGGAAGGGGAAGAAGAAGGACCCAACACGCGGTCTCCTCGATGCCGCCGTTCAACTGTACAATGCAGAAGAAGCGCTGAAGCTCAAGCAAGGTGACAAGGTCGTTGATATCGTGGATCGAGAGGCGCTGTGGCAATATGAGAAACTCCGAGAAACGCTAGTTCAGTTTGAGGAAGATGAAGGCGACATTCACCAACCAAGCTTCTTCTCTTGGTTCGGTTTCAGGGGCGCGGTCAACGCTGCGAATGTCAAAAAACCAGCTGAGACAGAGACTGGGTCCCAGAATGAGGAGGATGACGCCAACGAGGACGAGCTCGAAGAGCTACTGGACGTCGAGATTTTCCCTGCTGGGGACGAAGTAGCTACCGCTTTGGTAGAGGACCTCTGGCCAAATGCCATGGACTATTTCCTGTCGGCTAACAGCCAAGATGACGAGTCTGACGATGACGATGATGAGGATGAAGATGACGACGAAGCTCCGCAGTTGGTGTTGGCAGAGGAAGATGACGACAGGCCGCGCAAGAGGGCGCGTAGGGGTTGAAATGTCGAGCCCGCTCGTCTCGATGTGGTGGAGATATCGCCGTCCATAGAAGGAGCTTGTCAGAGGCTTCTGCTTTCCCTGGGGGTGTTCACGGATGGACCCAGAATCTTGCCTGGAGAGCCATCTGCTTCGTCGGGTTGTGTTCGGGCGTTTCCTGCATCCCTTCATCTTCCATGCTCCCCCGATGAGCATCGACCAGATGACCCTTAGGTGTTCTGGTTGGTTCCAGAGATTATCCAACCACAAAGATCAAAATGGCACGATCCTTTTAGCTTTAAATGACAATTACTAGAATCAATAATATCACCAAGACCACAATCAGCACCCCAATGCAGCAACTGCTCACACTGTCTTCGTTCCGTCTGATCACTTCGCCCACCTTCTTCACCCCGACACTCAGCTTGCCACCTACCCGGTCGGCGAGGGTGTCCACCTCGTCCAGCAAGGCGCCTTGTTCCTCTAATTCACGGCCCATGTCTTCAGCCTGGCCCCTCAAGACGCCGACGCTCTGGAAAACGCCGTCGAGCTGTTCGTCTTGTTCTCGCATCATCATCTCTTGCTGCTGAGCCTCAAATGCGCCATAGGGATCATCGTCATCTTCATCGTCGTGATCGTCTTCGAAGGATGAGGGATTGGGTAGTCTCCCATTCGGTCCTCTTGTGCCGCCAGCGCCGGAGCCGGTCGTGGTGGACGCCGAGTATGCTCCCCCAGCGACATGTGTATCTGTAGTGACGTCTTCCAACTCCCTCCTCATCCCGTCCACCTCGTCGCCCACATCCTTGACAAACTGCCTCCTCCGCTGCACCTCCGCGACATCTAGGCCGAAGCGGTACGGATCCGACTCGACGGCTTTTACGCTGTCCAGCAGATCCGCGAGGTCTGCCGTTAACGTCTCGAGGTTCGTACGTAGCTCTGAGCGTGACTGCTGCAATTCCGGGGAGGTGGCGGACGTAGACAGCGTGCGGATACGGAGGTAGCTGGAGAACAAGTGCCGTGTACTTTGGAGTGTGGATTGCACGTCGGTTTGCACTTCGAGGAAAGGGTCGGAGGACGGAGGATTCGCCATTGCGACAAGCAGGCGTGCGAGTCCAGGATCAGGGAGGGAGGGCGCAGACTTCACGGATTCGAGGGTTTCACTGTCTGCTCATTATGGGAAGTAAACAACTTAGCGAGAGTCGTGCTCGCTGGCGTTGCGACACCGTTGTACCTAAGTTTCCTTGAATGACATTATTGGTGGAAACTCTCTTTGGAGGTGGTCCGCCGCGACAGCGTATGACTTCCCCTGCCGCAATCTAACGTCTTTCTTCGATCGCATACCCACGAGACATCAAATGGGATCAGGGTCAGAATCAGGATTTACATTGTCCTATTGGTATGCAATATTGTACAGGTCCTGATAGTTCCGAATAAATGGTACAGCATGAAGGCAGCGCCGCTTTGCGAGGCCCTTCATCGTGGATACAACTCCATACTGACAACATTGTAGCACTCTTGTCAGAGGCTGCTTATTCCTGCAACTGATCATACATGATCAAACTTCTTCTCGGCTTATCGACCACTTTTTCACGCAGGCTTTCCACCGTCCTCTCCACAACCGTTGTCAAGTTACTCAGCTCAGCCTGCAACTGATTTCCCAACTCCGCATTCTTGACAGATTCAATCTTCAGTGCCCATTCCATCGAGTTTTGGATCGGCAATAGTTCCACCAGAGCGAAGTTCTGCTCTATTTCTGTCGATTGCTCGAGCTGGGTAAGCCGATCTTTGCTGTCCAGGTGAAGCAGCTTGGTGGCGTAGTTGGCGACTTTCCCCTCCTGATCCTGGCCAGCATAGGTGTGCACTGCCCTTGCAGCAGCCAGCTCCAGTAACACCGCCAGGACAACCGGATCTTTCCTGGCATCCACTTCGCCCTTTGACAGTTTGCCGCCACCATGCACTTCGTCTTCAAGCATCCGAGCAACATATTCAGCTCGCCGCGAAGCTGCCTCAAGTTCACCGCCCTTGAAATTTGCCAAAACCACGCGATTGTGGAACCCTAGCATCAACTCCTTCGCCACGCCCTTACGTGACAGCTTGACGCCCGTTTCGGCCGGTTTCTCCGCACAGCGTAGAATGATCCGTTCTTTGCCCACTTCACAGGCTTTGCGTGTTACTTTCTCGTAGAAACTAGAGGGAAGATTGATTTTTGCCATGACTAAACCGTGAAGGAACGGAGGGAGGTTGTTCCAATCTGTATCGTTGTGATTTCCTTCAAGAAGTTTTACTAATTTGACGATACTGCTGTGAACATTTGGCTTGTCAAAATAGTGCATCGGTTCCAGCTTGATCTCTTCATCATCGTCCATTGTTACCGTGACCCCAGGTTCGTTGATGAGGGTCGAATGCCGCGAGGCCTTGTAAATGAGATCCCGGTGGTGATTTTCCAGCGCCGCTGGCATAAAGACTTTTTGGCGCCATGTCAGGAGGAAGTCGTCGAACTCGGGATTGGATGTGGGATTGAAAGCCGGTATTACTTTAGACTTGTAAGCACGGGTGTTTCAACATGGAAATATGGCATCAATGTCGGCATACCTTTAGGTCTCGAGCGCGTGGTGCTGAATGGCCGCGTCGACTGCGTCCAGCTCGAACTGTAAATATTGCGTCGACAACTTCGACAGACGTAGAGGAAGTTTTGACCGGCCTGCGCCATTGGGTTGATCACACCTTCTCGCAACGTGCCTAAGCTGAGCTACCGTGACTTTCTGAACGGATATGACTGTCCGTACCTGCGCAACGATCGAATCTCAGCAAAGGCGCTTTTCCGCAAGGACCAAAATTCAATTCGCTCCACCTTCCTTTTTCATCGTCAATGAAAAGTGACTGCGACTGAGCTCCGACATCTTTGTGGAAATGAGGTTGCTGAACATTGCACTTTCATAATCTGCCATCCAACATGTCGAAAAGTGTTGCCTCCCGCATATCTATATGCTGCTGGCGATCTCTGTTTCCAGAGCTTCGACCGCAGCATTTCCGCCGGACAATAGTCACGCTACAACGCGGCCCAGTCGAGAAGCACGAAGTCCCGTCCGATCTCCCGTCACAGTACTGGTCTCAATTACCGGAAAGATTCAGACCTGATAGAGGTGGATATTTCCAAGCATTTAGTTGATCGACCAGGGATGCTGACAGGTTTCTTAGGGAAACGAGAGATAGTTATACATCAAGCACCCCGATCCGAGACCGAAACCTGCAAAGATCCAGTCTCTGTTGTGGACAGCCGACAATTGACTCTGTTGGATCCTACGGGGGCTCGGGCGAAGCTGTTCGACAAAACCAATAAGGATCGAGCCAAGGTTGGGGATATTCTGCTTGCAACCTTCACCTCAGGCGAACCAGTCTCGGGCGTGATTCTCTCAATCAAAGGCTCGGGACCTCACACGTCAGTTCTACTGCGCAACCACTTGACAGGAATAGGAATGGAAATGCAAATCAAGGTGCATAGCCCGTTGGTACAGAGCATGGAAATAGCCCAGAGAGCGCCGAAGAGAAAGAGACGGGCGAGAATATACTACCTGAGGAAACCAGAGCACGACATAGGAAGCGTGCAGAAAGTGGTCGACCAGTATCTGAGGCAACGAGCCATGTTGACTGGTGGAAGACCATCAAGCCAACTGGGACGGTCGAGAACGAAGAAAGGGAAGAGATAATCTGTGACATTGGAGCCTGATTGGAATTTGTGTATTGGGTGAGGATGATGCGGTAACACGCTTCTGCTGTGCCTCAGATTGGCTTCAAACTTGTAAGAAAACCGTGAATGTGATATTTTCTCCTGCAGAAATTGACTTGATGAGATTGTACCACACGGCTTGGGCTCAGGCACATGCAGCAACGGTTATTTCCTACCTTATTCACAGCTCAGTTTTCTCTCACTTGTTGCTGAAATCGCCTACTACAATTCACCTTGGGTTGTCACTCAGTCTTCCAGGCAACCGGCAGTGATATCTCGTCTTCATTGTTGTCACTAACTGTGACTCCGGACGTCTCCATAAATACCTCTTCAACACCCTCTCGATTGCTCCAACTCCTCCCTTTCTCCTCTTCTCTTTCCACACTGCCTTTTCCTCTTCCCTTGCCATTCGGTCTACAACGGCACTACAGCATGAAACGTCCTGCCACAACAGCCATGTCGACTCTTCTTACTCCCACATCTGACGCTACGTCTACGACGTCTCATGACAAACTCCTTGAGCGCCTTGGGAGTTTGGAGGTGAACGCGGACCAGACTATGAACCAAACAACCTCCAATATTCTCAGACAAGTCCTTGACCTCATCAAAACCGACGAGACACTCAGACGGGACTTGAATGTTGCCTTTGCCCGTAACGAGTCTGATGAATCTTCCCGTGGTGTTGGCAACTCCAGTGGTTCAGATCCTCCAAGTGAGTTTGATCCCCCAGCAGCTTCAAGTTGCTCTGATATTTCGATGCTGATTTACATAGTGGTTCCTATCGACCCGTCGTCCGAAGCAGCCGAGACTCCTGTGAAGATTGAAGCAGCTGATGGGGTCGCATTTGAGGATCGCGATGAACGAGCCTCAGTTGCTGACTCAAGGTAAGTCACAAGATGACGGGAAAGGTAACTGAGAAATCAATAGACTAATTGATACTCTGGTAGTCGGGTCTCCAATCGATTCACTCTCCGTCCTATCCGTGTCATGGTCAACAACACCGAGTACTTTGTCCACGAGGATATTTTCAAAGCCCTGTTCCCATACCAAGATCTCCCAGAACGCGACGGTGTCTTCGATCTACCAGACAATTACAATGAGCCATTCGTCGCAGCACTTGATTTCGAATACAGTGGAAACAATGATGCCCTTTATCAATATCTCATGGCGGACGATCTCGAGAGCCTTTGCGAATTTGCAAAGGATTATGGGAATATGCCTCTGATTGCCGCAATCTTGCAGGTCCGTGGAGACGAGCTCTTCAATCACGGTACTCTGGAGTGGGTTTCCAAAATCTACGGCTTCTTTGTCGAAGTCCCAGCATTCAGAGATCACTTCCGAGGTTGCTTGAGAACGGAGCTCTTGAGACGACACGGTCATGGTTCGTCCCACTTTCTCGTCACCTCAGTCGTAAAGACACTGTCTGGTGTCGACACCGCCATGGAAGATGTGTCTATGGTGCTTCACGACCTGTGGGATTCAAGCACGGAAACAGCGCATTCCTTGCAAGCCCAACTCGACGCTCAAGATAATGTTGAGAGCAACTCGGACAACAACAATGACAGTGGCTGGAGAGATGCTGCGCACAACGGTGGTTGGGTCTGTAACGACCAAAACGATCATCAGGCTGTCAACCAGGGAAACAATGACAATACGGACACGGGTGTCAAGTCATCTGACCGTTGGCCCATCATCTCTGCAGCAGACCCTCTTCCACGAACAGATCGACCCAATACGACCAGCACATGGGATATGCACCCTCCTTCACCCACGCAACCTCCCCCGGCAAATCCTGACCCGCCTCACCAATGCTTCTGGGAGCATGCGACCTCGCGTCACCTCACCACGCCGGCGTTTTTGCCTGAGCCGCCTCCAGGTACTTCCAGCTCTGACGCAGTGACCGCCGACCATGCGACCCGTTTGCAGAAAACCTCCGCTCTCGCGCGTTGCATCAACCACTGGGTCAACCAGCAAATGCATGGTTTGTGGTTCGAGGCTGCGGCTGTCGCTACCGGAGTCGGGTGCACCGTGGCAGAGGCAGGAGCTGCCCTCAGAGAACTCCTTGATATCACCGTGTACATGGATAGCGTCAGCCTTGGGGATATTCGCTACCAATCTCTTTCAGCCAAGCCGAAAGTAGTCCCGTTCAGCACCACGTTCGTCGGGCGTTGGACGACCTAGGAATTTGACGTCGACCTCGCTGGTTATGTGGTCCATTGTTTTCGTGGATCAAGCACCTCTCGACGTTCGTCTCAATGAGGCTCATCTGGAGCGAAAGGCCATCTTATCCTCCAAACACCATTCTCGTGGCGCTTTTCTCGACGATACACACGGAGTCACGAGTAGATTGCAAGCGGCACATTTCCGTCCAAAAACAACAAACCCGCCAAAAAAAAATGAGAGAAAAGGCTTCAAATCTCACAAAGAAAAAGTCCCGGAGAGAGACAGAGAAACAAACCGAGCACATTTCCTTCCCCCCCCCCCCCTCTTTCCCCTTTCCCCTTCTTTTCGACAGCTCGACAGCTCTAGCGAGGTCAAAAGGGCCAAAAGCAGCGAGGTATTAGATATCTGCCAGAGGATGGAGCTGGGGGAGCGCGAATCCGAATCCAAACTCGAAACGAAAAAACGGAGAACGAGAGACACAGGATTCTGGACCGGGATCTGATCTGGACCCGGAGCTGGAGCAGATGGGCGACAGTGGCTAGATAGATGATGAGCACCGACTAAATAGATCCGTCAGCTTTGAAAAGTCAACCTTGAGCTTGAGCCTGAGCATGACCTTGGTGTGGCAGTGGATGGGCTGAATGCAAAAGCGAATCAAGTTTCAAAGGCCACGTGCAACTTCTCTGTTCTTCTGTTGTCTAATCGTGATCGTATTCATTTCATTTCATCTCATTTCATTTCGCACTAGCAATCATTATCTGGCCGTTTTTACTTTTCGACATGTGTAATTTCGTATCTTCTGAACGATAGTATCTCTCAAAGGTCGGCTCAAATCCGTACAGCTCCGCACAGCTCAGCTCAGCCCAGAGAATCCAGCCCGCTCCTTGACGATCTTGACACCATGTAGCGATAGTGGTTGAATCCATGTAACCCAATGTATTTGTTGAATGGGTTTCCCTGACGTGGGAGGACTCCTGGTTGATAGATGTCGTTCCTGGGCGTGACAGAGGAATGGTAACTGGCCTGACCTGGCTCAGAGCAGAAGCAGTGTGTAATCCTCGTCGACTTGCACATGGGTGTTCTCGAGTGTTATCTTCCCACCGACCACCGCAGGTCCCTTGATCGTCACCTGTATTGTTATTAGTCAAGTGGTCAGTAAAGAAATCTTTCAGAAATGATATGAAAAGAGAAAACATAATATATTGCAGACAAGGAAGGGGATTAGCATAGGGAACGCAGTGTGCAGTAAACAAGGGAAATAGGCCCCTCTCGGACATACGGTTGCTCCACGCGGAGTTCGCGATCCCATAACTGGCTCTTCTCCAGTTAAATTGACCTCGACGCTACTCAGCGGAGCGCCGACGCAACATACTTTATCGCCCTTGTCGCGATAGTCGAAGATGTTGGTCTGTGCAATCGCCCCTGCGACGAATGGACTCGTGAGGGCGTACCCGATTCGACATTTCAAGTGCGTGCGAATACTGTGCAGTGTCGACGACGACAAACGAGTTGATACCGCTGCGGTGATTGATTGCGGGATCAGAAGAACGCGGAGATGCGAGAGGGAATCGGAGGTGGAAGTCTGCTTTGTGGGCAGATTCCCCTGCTGCAAAGTGCGTGTACTCATGAACTTCGACAATCCGCCCGGAAGGGTTGTGCTCGGGTGAGACAAGTATGCTTGCACGGTCGGTGGGGAGGCGAGCACAACTGTCGGAGAAGTCTGCGAGGTGGCATGAGTGAGGTCGATTTTATCTCCAGAAACGGAGTTGAGAGACAATGTCGCATTCGAGTAAAGAGCGGCAAAGACCCAGCAAAGGGTGTAGCTGTCAGTTAGAGGTGTGGTAGGGAGCAACGAGTCGCTCGGACCGAGCTTTTGAGCGCGTGGCAGTGTGGCGAGAAGGCCGGCGGTGCCAGAGATGAGGTTCTAAAGGACGTCTTGATTAGTACCTAGAGGTTCAGCTGGCAGATGAGGCGTGGTTCAGGAGGGGAGAAGGCCACGATAAGACACATGAGGGGAGCTTACTTCGGAGGTATACTTGATCAAGTCAAAGCCTCCACTGGCTGTCGGACAGAAGACTGACACAGGCGGCACCTGAGAATCTTTGTCCAGCGGCAAAACCTCCGAGTTGGAGGGTCGCTGGTTCTTCTGCACAAGTTCCTGCCACGAGCTGACCGCAAAGCCTTCGGGGGAACCTTCTGTCCATTCCATGTGCTTGTTGACTGCTCGGGTAACCCAAATGATGTTCTTGATGCTTTTGGCGGCGGCAGACAGGGATTCAAGGTCCAATGTCCCGGCTTCAGCGATCAAGTGGTCGGCTGACACCTTGGAGAGAAGCGAGTTGAGTTTGTCAGGCGGAAGTCCATATGGGAGAAGGATTGTCGAGAAGCCATAGAAAGAACCAGCTGTTGGTGGACGGTAAGAAACTCGACAAAGAACCTAAAGGACTTGCAGGAATTATCCAACATACCAAAAATAGAAGACAATAATTCGACCGAGTTGGAGAGACAGACTGCCACAGACTGGCCGTTGTTGCGCTTCACGTATTGACCGATGACATTGATTCCCAGCGTCAGATCCTCAAGATTATGGTCGATGACCTTTTCCAGGCCAAGGACCGTCACAACTTTGCCTCTCTGGCCCGTTGGATTGCCCTCTTCATTGACCGCGCCACGGACTGCCGCCCTCCAGATGTCCCGCAGATCTCCAGGTCGGCCGGAACTCCACTTTGGAGTCCCTGGATCTTTTACGCCCAGCCCAGCACGGAGAGGATATCCATGGGGAATGTCGATGGCGCGGTAGACGGCCGACTCACCTGATTGGCGAATGGGGGCGACCTGTGCCTGCCTTGCTAGCAAGTAGGGGTGAGTATCTGGATCACGACCCGTAAGAATCGGGTAGATGAGGAATACTGCGAGACCGAGCGCAAGGACGGTCGTCCAGATGTTCCATGATGAAAAGAACTCGGCAATGGTGCTATCAATTCGCTCTGCTAGGCCAGTTTCCGACATGATGGACCAAGTTCAAAAATGGGAATGGGTCGAGATGTCGTTGATGGATGTCTAGAAGATTCACAATGTCGACATTGGAGTTGAAGTTCCTCCGAAACCGCCATAAGATTCTTGGCCTGGTTTCTCTTGCTGCTTTAGCGCGATTGGCGGCCTTGTCTAGCCTCGTCCAGCCTTGGCGTCTTCAATCGCGTCGTTGGACTTTGTCATTCTAACCATATCTCCTCACATATAGAGAACATGTCACCTCGAGTGGGCATCCGCATCGCAATTCATTAAGTCTAGCGATCATATTCGCATATTCAACCTGCCCCATTCATCATCCAGGCTTTTCCCTTTGCTTCCAACCCTGCACAGTTGGCTCATTCCCTTCCTCCCGCCTGCTCTGTTTTGTACTTCTCAAACTGCTTGATGAACTCGTCCTTGAAGTCCTTGACATTGTTGAGAACCAGCTTGATATGACTCTTTTCCAGTCTACTCTTGCCTTGAGCCCGAGCCAGACCTAGCGCGCTGGTCACAATATTTCGTATCTGGCGGCCATCGAAGCCCATCTTGACCACATCCTCGAGCAACCATTCCTTGATGTCATCCCAATTTTTGACGAGACCCTTATCGGCCAATGGTTGCAAGAACCCCCCAAAGATCCCCATTGTCTGATTTTCATTTAGACTTACGTACTTGAACGCAACGTGGATGCGGGACTGGACGGCGACGTCGAATTTGGCGATTTGGTTTGTTGTAAGCATTAGAATTCCTGCAGGTTCGGTTAGTTTTGTCTCCTTCCTAGCTAGGGTACTTACCCTGATAGTACTCAAGCACTCGAAGGAAAACTACAGCAGTCAGTCGAGCCAATTTCCTTCTAGCCTTCACATGCTTACCTGAGACCAGCGCATTCCTTTCAGTATTAGCCGCGACTCCCTGTCCTCTACTCTCCAAGAACACGTCGGCCTCATCGCTGGACAGATCAGGTCAATCTCTTGATATATGCTGAGTCGAATGTAGAGGCTTACATGAGAAGAATAGATTGCCACGAGGTAGCCAGGTCGAAAATCTTCTTCAGATTTGCCTCAACATTCTTTGCTTTTGTACCCACATCTGCAACGCTGATGGCGAACAGAGGCTTCCTTGCAGCAAGTGCCACAGTCTCGGCGGTGGAAGTCTTACCTACCCCTGGCGGTCCTATGAAATGTCAGTTTCTGTCATGCGCACGGTTACGCTCGGCCTGGCTTACCATAGAGGAGAATTACCAAACCTTTCCCCTTTCTGGCGATGATGTCGTCTACTTCGAGGCGGTTGTAATCTGATGAGTCGCTTCTGCCGTGGCCATCCACCAGGTCGAGAATCATCTGTTTAGTTTTCCCATCGTCGGCGAGCTTGAGTCTTGTAGACCAGGCATCGTCAGGGTCCTTGTCCGGGATCTTCGCGAGAAGGGACACCTGCAGCTGAGCCCATTGCTTGTCTCCTAAGACGTATCCGAGCACGCGAGGGGGACAAAGCATATACTACTCGTCCACCCACTTACCCCTTTGATATGCTTCTTCATCGTACTTAGTTCTGAAGGCCTCATTCAACAGGTCGTTCTCTCGGCAGTCGTTGCAATTACACTGAGGATTAGTATTGTCTGGCCAGAGGGACCCCACACGAGCGACCGATGGACCGAAGACGAAATATGATTCGAAGTCCACCATGACTCGACTGCTCACCTGAAAAGGAGAATGAGAAATACTCAGATGACTGCAGAATGAGACTCACGTGTGCAGATTTAGGATGTGGAGAGCGATTTTGTAACCGCGAAATTCGCCTTCGCCTTAAATACTCGAGTTCTTCGTCAAAATATGGTCGGGGTTCATCATCCTGAGTAAGGCATGAGCAACCTAAACATTGCGCATCAGGGAAAGTGCCTACCGTATCATCATCTGCCTGAACTCCGGAGAAGCCTTTCTTGATAAGGAGGGCATCTCCTCTGTAGTCGAACAAGCGGGACCCTTGGGTAGCAGTGCAGAAGCTGCGGA